CACCCTCAGTTCTGTGCTGGGCTTAGATTCTCATCTGCTTCTTTCCCTCCTCTTCCATCCCTTCCATAAGCTCATTTTGTCCCCAGAGGAGACGGGGCTTTGCTTTCTGACAGCCGCTGGCACGGGCTCTGTTGCATTCTTCAGGGTCTTGGCCTGTGTTTGATCCCAGTTCTCCCCATGTGGAAACTGAGGCAGTTCATTTGCAATCAGAGGAAGAATGGGGCTTCTTGGTGGACTTGGGATTTGGGGCAGGTCTATATGTCACCCGTCTCTGCAGAAAACTAGCCATGGTTCCTCTTTGATCACCAAGAAGAGACAGGAATTCCGTCAAAGGGACCCGGTGTTGGAGAGGAAAAAGAGCTGAATCCTCCAAGGGGTCCCCTGGCTCACCTTTCATGGTTTTAAGCATGAGATGCTTAATTGAGTTCCCCCCAAGTCATTTGGTGAAATGATGGGATGGAAGGCACAGGTTAGAGAGAGAATGGGATGCTATGTGTCCCTTTGGAACTTTGAATAGTCTCATTTACCACTCACAATGGAGGCAGTGTAGCTCAATGGAAAGAACAGTGGTTCTAAAGTCAGAGGACCTGGATTCAAATCTCACCTCTGACACTACCTGTGTCACCTTGGGACAATTCCTTCATCCCCCTATTCCTCAGTTTCCTCATCTGTAAAATAAGGGGATTTGACTAGATGGGCCCTCAGCTTCCTCCTCACCTCTAAATCTATGGTCCTATGAACGTGGAGGCCCCGGAAGACAAGTAATTTTATGATAACTACTAAAGCAAAAGCAGCTAGGTGGCACCACAGTGCATGGAGCCCGGGGCCTGGAGTCAGGAAGATTCATCTTCGTGAGTTCAAATCCTGCCTCAGACTAGATGTGTGACCCTGGGCAAGTCACTTAACCTTGTTTGCCTCTGTTTCCTCATCTGTAAAATGAACTGGAGAAGGAAATAGCAAACCGCTCCAGTGTCGTTGCCAAGAAAATTCCAAATGGGTCACGGAGAGACACAACTGAAAAGACTGAATCGTAGCTACTAAAACAAAACAACCCCACCTTTGGCAAGTCCCTCTTCTTCTCAGGGCCTGTTTCCTTTCCTGGAAATAAGTAAGGAGTGTTAAATGGTTGCTAAGCCCTTTCAGCTCTAAAGCTTCTATCATATTTGTAATATTGCATGTATTTTCATGCAAAGGGGGATTACAGATTCGGAGCTGAGAACATCTAGACCTTCATTTGGACATAAATGAACAGCCACAAGACTGAATGCTGTTGTCTCTGGGTCTCGGTTTATCTACATGTTCTCGGCTTCAGAGAACCATCCTGTTCTCTGACTCTTAGCCACATAACACCAGGAGAAGCTCTCAATTCAAACAAAAGGACCATTGGGAGGTTTTTTTAGGGAGAAGTTGAGGTCTTCATTCTCTCCTCAACGTGTGACACACTCTCCCCTCTCTCAGCCTCAGTTTTCCTCATCTGTAAAATGGGGACGATCATAGCACCTATTGCAAAGTCTAGGACTAAATGAGATAACATGTAAAGCGTGTTGCAAATCTTAAAGCTCCGTACGAATGCTAGCTTTTATTATTACTATTATCTTCTTCAATTCATCCTATGCAGCCTCTCAAGACCTTTTTTTGCATCTTAAATTTCTCAGTCGGTGTATTAGTTCTAAGGGGCATACCACGTCTGCATTTACTGATAACAGTGTTAGACAGCAAGGCCCAAGTACAGATGCCTAGAAACTTTCATCCTGCGATCGTAGGATCACGTTTCTACAGTGGAATGGACCTTATAGGTCATTGAGTCCAAACCCTATGAGGAAATGGACCAGGGAGGCAATGTCTTGCCCGAGGTCATAGAGGTAGAGTGCGAGAGCTGGGATTTGGACTCCTTTGTCTCCAGAGCCCATGTTCTCTTCCCATTATACCATATACTGGCTCTCAGTTTTCTCACCCATAAAATGAGAGACTTGGGCTTGGGAGTCCATAAACTTGGTTTACAAAAATTAATAATTATAATTCAGTGTTGTTGGTCTCCTCTGTGACCCTATTTATTTTATTTACTAAAGAACAAAACAAAACAAAACAAAAAAACACCCAAACATCATTTTGAGAAAGTGTCCACAGGCTTCACCAGACTGACACCAGAAAGATGAAGAATCCTCGGATGAGACCATCGCTCCCCGGATCCCTCCTGGCTCTAAGATCAAAGATCCTCTGACAACAGTAGTTTTTTTCTCCTAAGGAAGGAGATAGTAAATGAAAAGTTGAAAAGGAGGTAGATTCTGTGTCCTGCTGTTGAAGCTGAAGACTCAGTCGCTGTGTACCTTAGACCAGACTTACCTGCTGAGTTTGGGATGGGGCCCTAACCTGCTACCTGCATGTTAGCAAGCGCTTGGGGGCCATTTCTGCGTAACAAGAGACTCATTTTTCAAAAGGGATGGAGGAAGAGGAGGAGAATAAATACAGAAAGGCCACGCTCATTTGGGAGAAGTTGTTAGAGGCCTCAAATATAGAAATCTGTGTAACTATCTGAGCTGACTTGACTCTCCCTGCTCATTTCCCCGACCACAAGAAACAGGGACCTCTTTGAATGCACCGTTTGGGCTCAGTGTCAGTGGACAATTTAGCTGAGTCAGGACAACTGGAGTGTCCGTTGAGTCATGTTTCCAAGAATAAGGCCTGCGTCTGACTGAGGAGACAAATGACCTGGCAGATGCCCCAGTGAATCAAAGCGGGGTGTAGGAGAAGACTGTCCCCAGAAGGGAGGTAGTGGGGGTGACCATCGAGGCACGGTCTTGGTCTTGCTGTCGGACTGACTGCTCAGGATGCTGTAAGGAGGGGCCTTCAAGTAGAGGTTAGGAAGGACGAGTTAGAGTCGGGGAGTCATTTCCAAGCCTTCTGTGGACTTTGGCTTTTATCCGTAGTAATCGGAAGGTCACCTATGGGATCATGGAATGTTAGAGCTGGAGAGGAACCTTCTAGTCACAGGAACAAGGCCTGCAAGAGACCTCAGCTTCCATCTAGTTTGCATCTCTGGTTTTACAAATGAGGAAACTGAGGCCAGTAGAGGTAAAGAGACTTTCCCAAAGTGGCCCAGGTAGTCTCTGAGGTGGGATTTGAACTGAGGTTTTTTGATTCCAGCGCTACTGCTCTTTCTTATTTTCCTTATTTTACACATGAGGAAACTGAGTCTCAGAGAAGGGAAATGACTTCTAGGCCTGTTTGATAAGCATTTATCAACTGCCTGCTGAGTACTAGACCCTGAGGATACAAAGACATGTGCACACACGGAAAGAAAACCAGACCCTGCCCTTGAGGATTTTACATTTTTACAACACATTGAACAGGAAACTCAATGCACAGTAATTTAAGAAGGGAGCAGAACAGGAAAAAGTAGGTGGGAAGGGAAATGAGCAAAGGCTCCCCATGAGAGGTGTCACCTGAGCTAAGCCTTGAAGAAACCTTACCATTGTCCCATGCAGAAGTAAAGGGGAGAGCGAGCTCTCAAGGCCTGGCAGAACAGACACCTGACAAAGACCTGGAGGCTGGAACCCCAGGTTTGAGGAAGCCCAAGTCTCTGCTTTGCCTCTGTCAAAGTAGAGGGAGAAAGGGAGTAATTTGCACTTGAGTCATTAGAGAGCTCGGCTGTTACTGCTGTTGCAGTGAGAAAGATATTTCCCTCTCTGGGCTGGGTGGGACAAAAGTAGTGCTGGAGCCCTGCATTTGGAGGTGGAAGGACCTGGGTTTGAATCCTGCCTCTGATACTTACTAGAAGTTTGACCCTGGGTGAATCACTTACCCTCTCTGAAATACAAGTTCTTCATTTATAAAATGAGGGAGTTAGATTGGATGATGTGAAAGGGCCCTTCCATGTCTAAATCTATGATTCTATAATCTGTGAGGAGGTCACCAGATTTGGGAGGGTCTGAAAGACCTGGGTCCATAGCCCGCATCTGATCCTTCTTAGCGGGTCATAGGGTCTTTGTATCTTCATCATCTTCACCATCATCACCATAGCTACCATTTATGTAGCACCTACTGTGTGCCAGGCACAGGTAGATGCTATTATCCCATTTTCCAGTTGAGGAAGCTAAACCTGAGAAAGGTTAAGGGACTTGTCCAGGGTCACACAGCTAATAAGTCTCTGATTCGAGATTTGAACTCGGGTCTTCCTCACTTCTGATTGCCCTTCAAACTTTGAGTCCATCTCTCTTATTTTACAAGTGACGAAACTGAGGCTGAGAGAGGTTATGTGACTCGTCCAGGGTCACACAGTTAGCACTGCTTCTGCTTTGCCATTCCTCCAGTGACCCTGGGCAGATCCCTTTGGCTCTGATCCTCAGTTTCCTCACCAGTTAAAAAGAGCCAACAATGCCTATCATACCTACCTCACAGGGTAGTTACCCATAAAGCGCTTTGTGAGTCTTAACATGCTGTATGAATATCAGTAATATCGTCGTTGTTGTTATTAGAGGGGCTAGCCAGTTCATCAGCGAATATTGATTAAGTACCTGCTGTGTGCCGTGCCCTGTGCTAAGCCCTGAAGCTCACCCTACAAACTATGTCCCTATAAAACATTCAGATTGATTAGAAGTCGATCTCAGAGGAGAAGCTATGAGCAGTGGGGTGGGGCAAGGGGAGATTGGAGCGAAGGCTCGAGGGAAGCCAGGGGAGCTGCGAGGTTGAGAGCAGAGGACACGTGAGAATTTTGCAGGTGTGGGGCCTGCTGGGAAGGGGGAGCTTCATGCTGTGTGCAAGGAATAGTGAGCAGGGCCAGATCATTGGATCCTAGAATGTGGGGGGTGGGGCATCAACGGTGGGAAGAAATGAGGTCATGAAGGGCTTTGGATGCCAGACGAAGGATCCTGGAGGTCCTAGGGGACCACTGGGGCTGAGAGTGTAGAGAGGTGCACAGTCAATCCCGCACATTCCTAGTCACTTTGAAACATTCAATGCCATGGTTTTCTTAACCAGAAAACATGTTTTCCTCCTTTCAGCTCCTGGCCCCACGACAGCAGTGTCCTACATGTCGGTGAAATGTGTGGACTCGAAGAAAGTTCATCACAAATCCAAGTGGTTCATGCCTTGGGGCCCCAACCACTGTGACAAGATCCGAGACTTTGACGAGGCCCCTCCCAGGCAGATCGAAGCCAACGACATTGTGTTCGCCGTCCATGTGCCGCTGCCCTCCATGGAGATGAGTCCCTGGTTCCAGTTCATGCTCTTCATTCTCCAGCTGGATATCGCCTTCAAGCTGAACAACCAGATCAGTGAGTCCTGTCTTACTTCCACCTGCCCCGTCCCCGTGCCCCTCGTGCCCACTGTGCCCAGCATCAGGGCTCTCTAGGGTGTGAGGGGCAGGGCTTGGGAGAGGAGGAGAGAAGGTCGGGGAGGGGAGGAGAAGAAAGAGACAGGAGAGGAGAAAGAGGAGAGGGGAGAGAGAGAGGGAACGAGAGAATGAGAGAACAAACACACACACACACACACACACACACACCCTGGATGGGAAGCCAAGTCAGCGAGGTTCAAATGACATTACCCCTTGCAAGGCTGGGTGAGTCATTTAAACCACTCTGTGCCTCAGTTTCCTCACTTGCGAACCGGGGACTATAATACTTGGAGCCATGGCAGGTTGGATTAGGTGACTGCTGAATCTCCTCATCTGTATAGTAGGCACCACACTACCTGTCGTGGAGGCAGTTTGATAACAATGGACAGGGAGCTGTTCTTAAAGGCAGGAAGGCTTGGGTTTGAGGTCTGCCTCTGACACATGCTGGCTTTGGGAGGCAATATGAGGGACATATCATTCAAGCTCTCAGTGCCCCAGGCAGTTCCCTAAGACGAGCCGTTGTGTAGTGGGTGCTGACTGTGTTGGGGAATAGAGTTTCCTTACTGGGAGCTTTCTGCACTAATGAAATCACAAATCTGGTCCCCCTAAAACAACAACAAACAGTTAGCGAGAGAGGCCCTGGAAGATGGCTAAAGAAGCAATGATGATTTATGGTTAGAGCACAGGAAGACCTGAGTTCAGATCCTGCTTCAGACATTTAACTAGCTGTATGACCCTGGGCAGTCACTTAACCTCTGTTTGCCTCAGTTTCCTTAGCTGTAAAATGAGGGAGCTGGACTCCAGGGCCTCTCAGGTGCTTTCCCGATTGAAATCATTGATCTTCTCTTACTGACCTAGATTCAAATCCCAGCTCTGCCACTGAGTACCTGGGTCACTCCACCTCTCTGGGTCTCTGTTTCCTCATCTGCAAAATGAAGATTTGGATGAGGTGACCCTCTCCTCCAGGTCCCTTCCAGCCTCTCCCACCAGGTTCACTTGGGGAAGGTGCTTTTGCATGGCTTGTCTGGTACTATTCTTCTACCTTTGTTGTTATCATTGATGTTGTTGTTTAAAACTGCCTGAGCACCCCTGTGTCCAGGCAAAGTGGGTGGCCACCCAAGCAGTGTGTCTCCAAGGGTCCCAAGAGGTCTATTAGCCTCAGGTAATCTTCCTTGTCAGCCTGCCTAGCGTTATACCATCAAGATGTACTCCCTTTGAGTAAAGGCAGCATGTTCAGAACAATTTTGGTTTTTTACATTTTTTTTTTGGTAAATTTTAAATATTTTATTTTTCCAATTACATGTAAAAAAATTTTTAACATTCTTTTTAAAAAATTTTTGAATTCCAAATTCTCTCCCTTCCTTTCCCCCTACCTCATTGAAAAGGCAAGCAATTTGATATCATTTTACATGTGCAGTCATGCAAAATGTATTTCCATATTCTGTGGTGAAAGAACACACACACACACACACACACCCCAAGAAAAATAAAGTAAAAAAAAAAATATACTTTGATCTGCATTCAGAATCCATCGGTTCTCTCACTGGAGGTGGATGACATATTTCATTGTGGATCCTTTGAATTGTCTCAGATCACTGTGTTGGCCAGAATAGCTAAATCATTCACAGTTGATTATTGTACAATGTTGCTGTTACTGTGTACAATGTTCTCCTGGTTCCGCTCACTTCACTTTGCATCAGATTGTGTAAGTCTGTCTAGGTTTTTCTGATATCATTCTGCTCATCATTCGTTACAGCACAACATTATTCCATCACGATCATAATAGACCATGACTTGTTCAGCCATTCCCCAACAGATGGGCATCCCCTCAATTTCCAAGGCTTTGTCACCACAAAAAGAGCTGCCATAAATATTTTTGTACATATAGGTTTTTTTCCTTAAGAAAAAAACAAAAACTTTTTGAAAAAATTTCTTTAGGACATAGGCTTAGTAGCGGTATTGCTGGGTCAAAGAGTATGCGCAGTTTTATATCCCTTAGTCATAGTTCCAAATTGCTCTCCAGAACTCCACTAACGGCATATTAGTTTCCCTATTTTTCCACATCCACACCAACATTTGTCATTTCCCTTTTCTGTCATGTTAGCCAGTCTGATAAATGTGAGTTGTTACCTCAGAATTGTTTTAATTTTCAATTCTCTAATCAATAGTGATTTATAGCATTTTTATGTGATTACAGATAACTTTATCTATTGCCTGTTCATATCCTTGACCATTTATCAATTAAGGAATGACTCGTATTCTTATAAAACTGACTCAGTTCTTTATATATTTGAGAAATGAGACTTTTATCAGTTTTTTCCCGTTTATGATTACCAATTATGTATTTCCTTCCACCCTATTTTTCCCATTTATCTTTCTCTTTCCTTTCACCCTGTCCCTCTTCAATTGCTTCTGACTACCACCTCCCCAATCTGCCTCCCTTCTATCAGTGCCCCCCCTTATTCCCCACTCTTCCTACTTCTCTGTAGAATAAGATAGATTTATTGACCTGAGTATATTATTCCCTCTTTGAGCCAATTTAAATGAGTAAGGTTCAATTGTTGCCCACCACCACCCCCTGCCATCTTTCCCTCCAGTGTAAAAGCTCCTTTGCTCCACTTTCATGTAAGATAATTTATCCGATTTCACCTCTTCCTTCCTCCACCTCCTAATGTATTACTCTTTTTCACCCCTTAATTTTATTTTTTTAATATCATCCCATCATGGTCAACTCATACCCACACTGGCTGTATATACATACTCCTTCTAATCACCTTGGTAATGATGAAGTTCTTAGGAGTTACATGTGTTATCTTCCCATGTAGGAATGTAAGCAATTCAATCTTATTGAATCCCTTATGATTGTTCTTTGCTGTTTACCTTTTTATGCTTCTCGTGAGTCTTGAATTTGAAAGCCAAATTTTTAATTCATCTCTGGTCTTTTCATCAGGAATGCTTAAAAGCTCTCAATTTCATTAAATATCCATCCCCCTCTTCCCCCCCCCAAAAATTGAAAATACTCAGTTTTTTTGGGTGGTGATTCTTGCTTGTAATCCTAGCTCCTTAGCCCTCTGGAATATCACATTCCAAGCCCTCTGATCCTTTAGTGTAAAGGCTGCTAAATCTTGTGTGATCCTGACCGTGACTTCATGATGTTTGAGTTTCTTCTTTCTAGTTGCTTGAAATATTTTCTCTTTGACCTGGGAGCTCTGATATATGACTTTAACATTTTTAAGAGTTTTCATTTTGGGATCTCTTTTAGGAGGTGATCGGTAGATTCTTTCAATTTCTATTTTACCCTCTGGTTCTAGGATATCAGGGCAGTTTGCCCTGATAATTTTTTGAAATACAATGTCTAGGCTCCTTTTTGATCATGGCTTTCAGGTAGTCCAATAATTCTTAAATTATTTCTCCTCAGCCTATTTTCCAGGTCAATTATTTTCCAATGAAATATTTCACATTTTCTTCTATTTTTTTCATTCTTCTGGTTTAGTTTGATTGTTTCTTGATGTCTCATGGAGTCATTAGCTTCTACTTGCCCAATTCTAACTTTTAAGGAATTATTTTCTTCATTGAGCTTTTCTACCTCCTTTTTTTTTTTTTGTATATTTGGCCAATTCTGCTTTTTTAAGGCATTATTTTCTTCAGTTTTTTTTGTGTGTGCATCCTTTACCAAACAGTTGACACTCTTCATGATTTTATTGCATCACTCTCATTTATTTCCCAATTTTTACTTTGCCTCTCTTATTTGATTTTTAAAATCTTTTTTGTTCTCTTGTAGGAATCCTTTTGGGGTCTGTAACCAATTCAGCAATTCAGTTTTTGTTTTTGTTTTTTTTTTGAGGCTTTGGGTGTAGCTGTTTTGACATTATTGTCTTCTGAGTTTGTGTGTTTTGATCTCCCCAATCTGAATAGTAACTTTCTATTGTCAGATTCTTTTTTGTGGTTGTTGTTGGCTCATTTTTCCAACTATGTATTAACTTTTAACTTTATGTTAAAGTTGGGCTCCCATGGGAAGAGTTGCGGGTGGAGACTGTCCCAAACCTCAGTTTTTTTGTACTGATGTTTTCAGAGCTAGTTCTGAAGATCTGTAAGTTTTCAGTTCTTCTAAGGTGGTATTATCTAAGGAGAAGTGTGGTCACTGCTCTCTTGGCCTGTGCTCTGGTTTGTGAGTGGCCACGAGCACTCTTTTCTGTCTTGGAGCTGTGACCAGGGTCCCCATCCCTTGAGGCCGCATGTGCTAGTGTGCTAGTGCTCCTTGTCCTGGGATCGTGACCCAGAACTGTGTATGGACAATGCAACAGGATCCTATACCCTATACCAGAAAAGGAACCCCTATAATCTCCTGACCACTGTCCAATCCCCTTACCATCTCTAGACTGAGAGCTTTCCTGTCAATTCAGGCACCCCCAAGGCCTGCTGCATGGGTGCAGCCAGGCTGGACTGTCCTCTCCTCTTGCCCCAAAGAGGCAGACCTTTCTTACCGGCCTTCTAAGTTGCCTTGAACTAGACAGTTGCTTTACCCCTTATTTTGTTGGTTTTGACATTCTAGGATTCAGTCTGAGGCATTATTTTAAAGTGGTTTGGAGCAGAATCTGGGAGAGCTCAGGTGAGTTCTTGCCTTTACTTTGCCATCTTGGCCGTAAATATTCAGAAGAATTTGTTAAAAGACCATCTTACTGGGGAAGAGAAACGTTTACCCACTGTCTCATTCTCTGGTATTCCACTATCCTACAAGGCCTACAAAGAAGGGGAAAGATAGTAGGGTCATGGGATCACAGATTTAATTCTGGAAAAAACCTTAGTGGCCACAATGTCCAACCCCATCATTTTACAAATGAGAATACTGAGGCTGAGAGCAGTTAAGTGACTTGCCCAGGGTCATACAGCTAGTAAGTGTCTGAGTCTGGATTTGAACTCAGGTCTTCTAGGCCCAGCGCT